TGTATGTATACACATGGATGTATAACCAATGTGATCCTGCAATCTGTACACGTGGAAAAATGAGAATTCATACCCTATTTAAATCAAATATATGATATGTCAAGATCATTGTATTGTCTTGAGCAACTAATAAAAATAAATAAATAAATAAAATTAAAAAAAAAGAAATGGGACCCTTACTTGCCTTAATGTCATTCCTCTGAAAGATAATGATACACCAGAATAGAGTAGGTAGTTGTCTGGCTGGAATAATCTATGAGCGAACTTGTCCTAGGGGCAGAAGAGCAGACTACAGATCCTTGCAGCACAAGTTTGACTTGTTTGCATCTTTAATTTTTTCATCGATTGAAGGTGGCATGTTTTCCTGACTTAACTAACCCCTCCTGTCAGAGTCTTGCTTGGGTTTGTGTGTGTTTAATGTGAAACTGACAAATTCTTGTCTATTGTAATGTTTCTGGCTAAATGGAAATGGAGGACTAGCTGGGAAGCCCTGGGAGGTAAAGCCAGTTTGGCATGCTGGGAAGACAGAAGTGTTGAGGAAGGGTCAGCCAGTGCTCCTTTGTGGCTAAACTGGTACTTCTTTTATTCATAATATAAGTTTACACAGTAGCACTTCTCTGACATAGTCACACCCACTCTCTTTCCTAAAGACCTGGAAATTTTGTTATCCTCAGATTCAGGTTTTTAGGTCCCTGTTTCCTCACTCCAGTCGGTTCAGACAAAACCTTTCTGCTGGCCTTTTATTATTCTTGCCAAGCTAAGTGATAACCTTAGGAATACAACACAAGGGCTCTTTAAATGAACATTATGTCTACATGCTGGATAGAGGATCAAAGTCATCTTTCAAATATTCATGCCTTCAGCATTTTGTGGGGGCAAGGGGTGCCTTTTCTCTAGCCACTGTGCTCCCAGGATCACTCAATTCATTTCAACCCATCTTACCTTGATCTTGAAATGTACTTTTCTACAGAGTCCTAACAAAATAAAGTAAAACCTGGCTAGAGTCAGATCTCCAAATCCTCCTGACTTCCTCTGGCAGCCAGACCCTTGAATCTGAAGGGCCTAGATGACAACTCTTTTTTGCAGTCTCCAGACACCCAGAAGTGAAAGAAGAGAATGCAATGTCATAAAGCTAATGACTTTTCTGAGTCATGGAGGAATGGCAGCTACCAGAGCCTCTAGTTTGTCATGAATAAGCAGTTTTTTGAAGAGAAAATAGTGTTGGCATTCAAACACTACTGCTCAGGGATTTGATTTTGTATTTTAGTTCCAGGGTCCTTTGCCTCTCTTTTGATACATGGTACTTGTGCAGGTCAGTCTTCTCTCCAGGTAATATCCCGATGGTGCTCTATGGGATTGGAGCTTCCCAGCTCCAGGCAGGTGAGGCCTTCTAGAAATCAATGGAATGTCTCTGGAAGAGCAATGGCTTTCCTTCCCCACTTTTTCCAACCAGAATAACAAAATGGTATGGATATTTATCTTGTAATTAGGGCCACATTCCCTAATTGCAACAGTGACACTGAAACACTGCAGTAGCAATTGTAGTTGCAACTTATGTTAGCTTTCTGTTACTGTGATGAAATCCCTGAGATTAAGAAAGGGTTTATTTTGGCTCAAGGCTTTGGAGATTTCAGACCATGCTCCATTGGCCCCATTGCTAATGGCAGTGTGATAGATGATGTGGTATATAATGGCAGGAACACATGGCAGAGGAGGCTACTCACCTCATGGTGGCTATGAAGCAAAAAGAGAGACAAGGGTCCACGGTCCCAATATCCCCTTCAAGGGCATGTTCTCAATGACCTAACTTCTTCCCACAAGGCTCCACCTCCTAAAGTGCCATAGGCTGGTGAACAAACCTTCAGCGAATGGACGTTTGGGGGACACATCCAACAACAGCATATCTCTATGGATCACCCATGTAAATGGGGGAGGAGGGAAAGGGTGTAGGCTATTTTTTCTCCAGGGGCTGGCATAGGGGGTAAGATACTAACAGGGTCTCTGCTAAATACATCCCATACATTTTCTCATTAATACTTAAAGCAATCTCCTGAGGCAAGGATTGTCATTCTTATTACATAGAAGAAGAAATCAAGTCTTAGATTATTAGCAAGGGTCCCAAAGGTGACATGGCATCACAACTGCATCATGCCTACCCATTGTGTTTCACAGTTTGTTGCTGGGCAGTTAAATTCAGAAAATCAGTCCTGTTGCATGGCATCTTCTAGCACTCTTCCAAGCCTCCTCAGGACCATTGCTTATCTCCTCTTGTGGCAGGGAAAATTCTTAAACATCTGTAAAGCCAACACCACTGCTGGCCTACTGTTCTATTATAAACCAAATACATTCCCCGTAGCTATTCTTAGGTGTTTTTTGTTTGTTTGTTTTTGTTTTGTAGATGGACACAATACCTTTTATTTTATTTATTTATTTTATGTGGTGCTGAGGATTATACCCTTACACATGCTAGGCAAGATCTCTACCACTGAGCTACAACTCCAGCCCTAGAGGTATTTTTTAAATAAAAGTCCTTGTACCCAGAGGGCTTCCAAATATTTGTTGAAAAAAAAAAATAACCATTTTCCAGAGCTAATAAAAACATCCTCTGTCCCTGAGTATACTCTGGGCAAGATCAAAATCATATGGAGGTCCTCTGCTCAGGTGCACCAATTCTTCCAAACAAATCTCTCTGAGGACTTGTGTTGTTGGGTATTCCCCGCATGATGCAATCAAAAGAAACATTCCTGATTTCCTTTGGCCAGATAGTGATAAGCATTCATACACTGTCTTCTTTCAGTGGGGCCCAAGGCTCTGTCTGTACCTTTGATGTCTATCATGAGTCCACCATGTCCTACAGAACACAGTCATGACTCAAGTGTTCCACACAGGACAGTGCCGTCCCTTCAAAGAGCACTGTCAGCCCAGCCTTTAGCTGGGTTGTATTAGTCATATTTCAGATGGCAGGACTGGTTCTTCCTTGAAACCAAGTCACCATCCTCTTGAGATAAGCCTGTCTCCTATTAATTTCCAACAAAGGTCTATTTACATCTCTGTCACAAAATATGAGCACAGCTGTTCATAATGGCACTGTATTTCAACTATGTAACACTCACTGGTTCACATGAAGGTTATATTTTCTCAGGTCAGGCTTTTTCATTTTGGGGTTGTTTAAAGGTTTTGAAAACAATATACTGTGTACAATCTGACTCAGCTGGCCACATCTCCACCTTCCCACATCCACCCGGGTAAGATAAACGAACAGATACAAGGAAGGAGGAAAAGGCCAGGAAGAAAGAATGAAGGAAATGTTTATTGAGACTGAAATGGAACACTGTTTCTTCTATGAGTTAACAGCACAGTGTGTTAACAGGCTGGTTACAAACTCCAAAACAAAGATGACCCATAGTTCATGAAGAGCTCTGCCAACTCTGGTGCCACTAATTGGAGCCACCTGATAAGAGGATAGAACCATTCAGTCCAAAAATACATTAATGATTCAACTCCATTTATATTTAGATTTAATTCCTATTAACAGTACCAATATTTGCATTTTAAAATTCACACTGAGTTTCACTTTGATGTTTACATGGCAATTTCAGTATTATTTTCTTGTAGATTTCAGGTACAGGTGGTCAATACTATTTACTTTTCTGCTATCTTTGGCACAATCTCTGGTTTCTAAAATATAAAAGTACAGGTTTAGGTTGGCTACACAATATTGCAAAACATGACTATTTGGGATCTATCTCCATGTAAGTACAAGTTCATGTTAAGCATTATTTACAAGATGGGATCTGAAGTACAGACTCTAATAAGCTATCTTCCTTCATTAGCAGAAGAATGACAAGTAGAGAATTTTAATGATCAGGGCCAAGATTACTAGTTAGAACAGTCCTCTCTGGAGGAGGAGACAAGTGTTGGAGGAGGAGACAAGTGTCAGAGGATGGAACAATTTCCCCTGAACCATTTATGTTGTGGGATTGATTTTGCAAGAATCCAGGGTAGGGATGGCTGTTTTAGGCAATGTGTCTTGTTCAACTTCTGGAATCTACATTAAAATACAACTTAGCTGGTAGCTCGCCATTGTTGTCTGGGCCCTGATGGATTAAAAAAAAATCCAAGGGCAGCAAAATACTGGCCTCTTTAAGTGGGTGTGAGTGAACTTGGAAGGATGAAGCTTTCCAGTCAGATCCAAGCAAGTCTAGCCTTCTGGGAAAACATCTTTGCACATCATCTTGTAGAGGGCTGGTGTGGATTTCCTCCAGAAAACGCAAAAAGTCTGTGAACTGTAAATGAATGGCTATGCCACCCTGGAGTATCACCATAGTACATCTCTGCTTTAAGGCTGACACACAGATGTGAAGTGATCAAACAACATGATTTCTCATTCTAGTGCTCCTGAGAAAGGAGTTCTGATAAGCCGTGAAGCAGACCTGGGTTGGAATTGTGGTTATTCAAGTACAAGGAAAGTTCCTTATTTCACATTGACAGTTTAATCCTGATCTCTGTCTTGTAAATTATATGAAAATAATAAATATATACATATATATAGTTCTATACTGAACACTGGGTTAACAGTTACCAGCGTCCCAATACAGTACATTGAATAAAGAACCCTTCTCCCTAAATGCTATGTCCATGTTAAAGTTAAAACTGTTATTGCAGAACTGTGCTGGTCTGTTTTGTTTTGTCTTCCAAAACAGTGTCTTTGAAACTGGCTGGAGATGAGTTCAAAATGGACAATTTGGCACATTGACCAGGTGGGGTTGTTCAGATGCATTAGAATCTATAAAAAGTGAGAAGTCAAAGGAAATCCATGCCAATAGAAAGTCTGAGTAAAAATTTGTAACCAATGACAGAAATTTTTAAAAACCCCAAATCACTGATTATGCATGAGAAAGCAATCTCTCTTCCACATCTGTTACCTAATTCTAAAAAGTTATTACTTCATATACTTCCAAACTTTGTTTTATAGAAATTTTCAAACCCAGATAACACAACTTTCTTTTAATCAATTTCCTTTTATCTTACCCCAACCCCAAATCCCAAAACCCAGAGAACAAAGGCTATGAAGCCAAATATAGAAAATAATCTGGAGGTCTGTTTATCAAACTACATGTACAATTGACCATTAGCGTTTCTCTTCATGTTTGAATTCGCTAAGAGATGACTCTCATGGAGATGTCCTTCATCACTCCAGTCATCTGAAGCCAAGGGCTCTAGAACTGTGAGGTCTGGGTGAAAGAGATAGTGTCGGACTTGTCCACTGCGAAGCCTCCATTGACATAGGACTTCTTAGTATCTGAGTCTTCATTATCCAGTATTGTGGATTCCAAGGCAAAGGGATTCACAATGTTGACTTCGGATGAAACATCCATCTGCTCCAGCTCCTTCTTAGAGAGCTTTTCTACAATGCCAGTCCCAAATGCATCACCGAGGACATTGACCATGGTCCTGAACCGGTCCCTGGGGAAGAGACAGGAAAGTCAGGCAGAGGGCTCAGATTTGACTTTCCTTCATCACTGACAGGACAAAGGAAAGGACTGATATGTTTGGTTAAGATTTAAATCAATACAGAAAATTCTGTCTTCATGGCTGGCTGGCTGGAGGTGCCTCACAGGCCTGGGGCAGAAGGGTATTCTAAAGCCACAGAAAGAACAAACAGGCTCCACTGGGTCTGTGCACCCAATAGGTAGCAATGTCTTCCCTAAATCTCCTAAAGTTCTCTTTTCTTCTTCCAAAGAAATATGAATATAGTCTCCACAGAGATGTTTGGAGGACTGAGGGAAACTCATGATTTATCCAGATTAAATGCAACTGACATTATGGGTTCTCTTTTGGCTAAGTGAGAGAACTTATGCCTCTCTCTCTCTCTTACTTTTTCCTTTCCTGGTGTATTTGTTTCTTTACCAAATGAATCTTGTTCTATGAGTAAGCTACCAGGAACATGGCAGAGCACAGGTTCAGAAAATACAGGTCAGCCCAGGAATGGATTCTCCTTGAGGCAACTGCAGCCAGTCCTAACTTCTGGACAGCCTAGTGAAGAGGCTGATGGCAGGACAGTCTGAAGACAAGGCCTACTGGGGAGGGGAGTATCAATTTTGACACTGGAGCTTTGATGGCAGGAAATGTGTACATAGGTATTCCTGTGAAAATGATACCCGTGGGAAGGAAAAGGCCACAAGTGTCTACACATATCCACTCTGCATGCCATTCTGCTATTTAGAGCAAGGCCACGGATTGAAATGGCCCTAGTTTCTTTCTATCCCATGACTTCAGATTGGATTTTTGGTTCATCTGGCTATCATGACAGTGAAGGTCCCTGGTTTCAGGAAGAACTAGGGGAAGGAGAAGAGGGTAAATCCATCATTACCAATGGAAGGAAAAACTAAAGCTTACCTCAGTGGTATGGTATTTTTGCAAGAAGGGCACCATTTCAGTTGGCTTATTAAGGCCTGGTGAATGTTGAGGGGACTGTGTATGGGACAGCTTCCAGGCTAGATGCAGGGTTCGGGACATACCTAGAATGTCTCTGCTTCCTTTCCTCCATCTCACCTGCAACCTACAAACCATGCAGCACTGGACTTCCCCGTCAACCCCACCGGCTCTAAGTTAAAGGTTCAATGTGGAGATTACACTTACCCTGAGGGTCAGGGGATGGAGCCAGACCTAGGTGCTGGAAGTGGACAACCAGGATAAGTCCCAGAGCCAGGCTAGTTCCAACTTTAACTTTGGAATCACAGAAGGCCCATTCTCACTCTCATGCTCTGCTGTATTTTGTGTGTGTGTGTGTGTGTGTGTGTGTGTGGGTGAGAGAGAGAGAGAGAGAGAGAGAAGTTGTTTGGGGCCTTAATTCATCTGAATTGTAGCAATAAAATTTGCCATATTTTGAGTATGTACTGTCTATTAGATGTGATTCTAGACACTCAATTCACATGAACTCACTTGGTCAATGGCAGAATTTCTCCTGTCTCACAGATAATGCAAATGGCTCTCAGAGAGGTTAGGGAACTTGCTTAAGCTCAAAAGCTAATAAGACATCAGATGAAGATTCAAACCCAAGTCAAGCTTACCCCAAAGTCTTTGCTCACACAATTGCCCCTGTCATCTCCAAAGATGCTTGATAAGATGCACAGATTTTAAACCAGGACATGGTGCCAAATCAGGTTAGGAGAAGCCAGGATGGACAGGGGCCTTTTCCTGGCTTCTTCACCATTTTATCCTATGTTTATCTTCTTCCACACCCAGCTTCTAATCTTGAGTATCACTGGTATAATGAGGTAATGGGGCTTACTGGCTTTTTAAAATCACTATTTAAAGTTAGGAGGAGTTAATTTTTAAGCATGTTATCAGATAGCCTGGTCAGAGGGAAATTAAAGCAGCAACAGATGGCTCATTAGGCAATCTAAGCAGGGATGATGGCAGCCTGCAGACTGTGAATGGTAGGAAGCTGCCTGCTCATCTGGCTGAGGCAGAGCATTTATTCCAACTCACAGGAGCCAGTCGACAGCGACGATCAGGGTGACATCCTCGGCAGGCAGGCCCACAGCACTCAGCACGATCACCATGGTCACCAGGCCAGCCTGGGGCACACCAGCAGCTCCGATGCTTGCAGCTGTGGCTGTGATGCTGTAGTCAAAACACACCAGCAGAGAGGAGTTAGACCCAATTTCTCCACTTAATGTCCCTGGTCTGAAATGGTCTCCGTGGGTGTTACTGCTCTGCCCTGAAATTGGGCAGGCAGAATCTGTTATCTGTTAAGCACCAGCTCTGCCTCATTATAGGATGAGTGCTGCAGGGGACTGAGAGAAGCATGATGCCAGGTTCTGACAGGAGGAGATATGGCAAGGACATATAGAAGAACTGCTTGAGTGGCAGCAAAAATGAGCCTGAGAGTTATTCAAGAGGAGGGCAAGAGTTTACCAACAGGGGTGTTTATAGAAGGTTTTATCTATCTACCCATGCATCCACCCAAAGTTCCAAGTACCTCTCCGTCTGCTGTCTTCCTCCCTTCTACTCACCTTCCCAGTCATTTACTGAATATCTAATGTGTTCCAGGAATTTAAGTTGCCTTGAAGGATTAGTATAGGTAGTGGCAGGGTAGGTAGACAAAGGCATTTTGAGTGCAGCAAAGGAATGAGCAATTGTTAAGCAGGTTTTATGCACTTTATGGACATCACAAGACTCTTGTCTCTCAGAGGTTTCAGGGCACTGAATTGAGAAAGACCAAGACTCCTGTCCAAAGTACAAGAATTTATTCCTGACTGCTCCTTTTGCCAGTGGATGCTCTTTGTGCAAAAAGAAGCGAGATCTGGAATCCAGAAAAGGCAGGGAAATGAACTTTATTACCATGTATTTAAAAAGATCTCTCTTGGGGATATATGTGGTACTAGGGGTTTTTCATCAGCAGCATCTTTCATATTTTAATTGGATCATTGTGGAGGAAATCAAGGCTCACCATGCCCTGAAAAGTCCCTTGGTTTGGATGAGCATGAGAGCACAGCCACAACACTTTCTGGAGACATGGTCTTGCCCTTGGGCCAATGAACTGCTGCCAAGAAGTCACTGGGTGGAAAGATAAAAATATAGGAACTGCAATTTAAACCAGAAGAATCCCGAATTTAAGCTACAAACCCATATTCTAGTGAGCTCTAAAGTCTCAGTTCTTAGGCAACTGATTCTACTGCCCATTCATCTGCCTAGTGATAAGCTGTCAGGGTTTAAGGAGTGGTTAAATGCAGTCCAGAGTTTTTTGATGATTATGTTATTCCCTCAGTGGCTGTGGCCCCCAATTTGTGGGGCTGTACCAATTTCTCTAAAAGTTTCAAGCTTTGCATAATTCTTTAGATCTGTTCTGACCTAAGTACTCTTTGGAAAACCCAATTTTATTTCAATGCTGGTTGAATTGAATGAATCAATGGGTTTTCTTTGTCAGAAGTGATTTGTGCCCAGACCCTCTGATCCCTCTTGGAAGCCTCAACATGTTATTGTTAACCAAGTCCCTATAGCCTGAGGCTGGACTGGAAACTCAAAATCCACTGAGCCAAAGAAAACTCTGCCCTTGAGCCTTCACGTTGTTTGCTAAATGTCAGCAGTCTGACTGGCTTTGGTCTGAAATTTGGAACTATACATAACTATAAGCAGGAAAAATATAAAATTCTATTCCTGCTATTTGAACATATACTACTTTGGCTGAGAGGACTTTCATTCTCTAAGGTACAAAGTTCTTTCCTAGCACCAAGGTTTAGTTTTAAGGACAGGCCATTTTTTAACTCAGTCCAACATGATTGCAGGTTGGGTGTGAATTGTAGTGAATAAAGGTTTGGGAATCAGACACACCTGGGTTATACTTCTGGCTCTGCCATTTTACTCACAGTTTTAATGGGCAGGTTACTTCTCTGAATCTAAATTCCTTGACAGTACTATGATGCTGCTCTGAAGATGAATCCGGGCAAATCATCTGGGATAGTAGATTTATAACATGCCATTTCTGCTGCTAATTTTTCAGCCTCTGTTGTTGCCACTGCTAGCACTAATAATAATGTCACTATGACGACAAGCAAAAACACAGGTTGAGCATCCCTAATCTGAAAAATCCAACATCTAAATGCTCCAGGATTTGAAACTTCATTTGATCACTGACACGATGCCACAAGTAGAAAATTCCACACCTGATCTCATATGAGGGGTCACAGTCAAAACACAGGCACAAAAGAATACTGTGAATATTTATAAGGTATACATGAAACTTCAATGAAGTTTGTGTTTGTACACTGATTTACTCCTAAGCTATCTCATTATGTATATGAAAATATTTCAAACTCCCAAATCCCAAACACTTCTGGTCCCAAGCAGTTTTGACAAAGGATATTCCACCTGTGCTATTATAACAAACGCAACTACTACTATTGGTACTTTTTTCTTGTGAGCCTTTCTAGGCCCCCAATCCTGTAATTATCTGTTTTTATAAGATAATTTATCCTATTTTCAATCAGTTATAGCCTGTGATAAGTGAATATTAGATAAAAAGATACCACAAAACGATGGTATCTATGTTATTTGATGTTCATCCCACAAAAAGAAATGTACTGTGTATGGGTCTAAAAGTTTTTAACCATTAGCCATGTGAGCTATAACTGTAACCTATAAAGTTAAAGCTAACTTTTATTTGCCAGGTAGAGCCAGAGAGGACTTTTTAAGTCAATGATTACTTTGGACTTCACAGTTGTTATGGTTCTGAGACACTAGTTATCAGCAAGTCTGACTGAAGATTTGCCAGAACAGGGAGGGAGGTTTTAATGTGATTTTGCTAGTTAGCTTCTTAGGCCCACAGTTGATTCCTCTAGCAGACAGGTTTTAAAAAAATGTTAGAAAGATCTATAAAATGTATGACTAAGGAAAAGGGAGGGGATTCATTAAAAAGTGGCCAGTACACTTGAGAGCCACCACCTCATACAACCACTCCTTGGAGCCGTTTAGTGCAAACTCTTGATTCCCCAGGCCAGGCTGAGGGAGATGGGGAAAGACACTTGGAAATGTAAAAGCAGCAACTGCTGAAGCACAGGGGACAGGTGTAGAGCAGGAACTTTCTCCGGCATGATTGAAGGTCTTAATTTAACACAGTCTCTGCTGTTGTAAGTACAGGACTTTACTGAAGCTCTTTTGGCACAGCCTTCTTTTTTTTTTTTTTTTTAGTTTAAGATGGCCTTCACATGTGCTAGGCAAGTGCTCCACCACTGAGCTACAACCTTGGTCCCTGGCACAGGCTTCTTTAGCCACTCACACTTCATAGATTATGCAGCATTTGTCTACTACCTCCTACTCCCACCAGCTGACGTGCTAAATGATATATATATTTTAGTACTTTTTTAGTTGTAGATGGACACGATGCCTTTATTTTTGTTTATTTATTTTATGTGGTGCTGAGGATCAAACCCAGTGCCTCACCTGTGCTAGGAGAGCACTCTACCACTGAGCCACAATCCAAGCCCCTCCAAATGATACATTTTGCACTTGTTTTCAGTGAATTTCAGGCAAATAGAAATAGTTTATAGGGTTGAGGAGGAGGTTTTTAAAAATGTACTAAATTAGAACATTGTCAGTTAATGAACTCCTTATCCATAGAATTTATGTCTATGTTGTGGACACAACAGTTAATTAACTCTAAAAGGTTGAGAGTCAATCCTGAGTGGGCCTAGGGACTAAGTTTCATATTACAAACTGAACTAAATGGTTACCTCTAATCCAAGCCTGTCGCTCCACTCCGACATACTGCTGTCCAAAAGAACTTTTGGCAGTGATGGAATTGTAATACAGCTGTGCTATTTAATTCAGTCAGCCATTGGCCACACATGACTGGTAACAACCATATTGGTCCTAAAGAAACAACTCAAGATTTACTAATGATATTTCTACTACCTGATTGAGCAGACAGACTATTTTGGTTCTCATTCAATGAGAATTCTCTTTAGCATCTGACTCTGTGAATCATTTTCAACCTTGAAAAATCTTCTTTGGGTTTTCATGATAACATGATTCTTGGCTCTCTCCCATCACTCTGTTCCTTCCCACTCTCTCTCTCTTGAATTCTCCCTTTTTTTGTCTGCGTCTAATATTAGAATTTTCCAAGGCTCAGCCCTAATTGTCTTCTCTATATACTCTCCCTATGCAATGCCTTCCATTCCTAACATTTATGTGCTCCCTGTGTAGGCACTAAGCATTTTATATGCATCATCCTACTTCATCATTACTACTTGAATAAATTGTAGGCACTATTATTATCATTTTACAGGTGAGAAAACAAGAAAGCTTAGAGAAATCAAGTCTTTTGCCTGCGGTCACAACTAATCATAGTGTCGCTGAGATTTGAACAGACACCTGACTTGTGACCTACTTGTTTGATGACCACCATTAAGATGATTGCCCTGACTTCCATTTCTCAGTCCAGACCTGCATTTCTCACTGTATATTTCCTTAAAATCTTAAAGGCTTTCAAATTCAATGTGTCAAAATATAAACTCTTTATTTTCTCCTTATTCTTGTTTCTCTCATGCTAGTCCCTGTTATGATAAGCCCCATCCATCAATCCAGAACCATCCATCAAACCTGGGAGTCATACTAGTCTCCCTCTGAATCCAACTGATAACTCTTCAATTTATTAGCTCCTTTCCATCCCCAGTGTACTCAGTGCCTTGTTGTAGGCCTTTTAAGACCTTACTTAGACCGCTCCAAATGGCCTCTAACTGGTCTTCTAGCTTGGGGTCCCTGTCTCCATCCAATCCATCCACTGCATTGGCAGTTACCTATCTAAAATGCAAATCTGTTCATAATATTATAAACGATCTAAGACCCTTCTATGAGCATCCCATACAAAGCCTTTCATCAGATAACCCCTTTCTCCTCATCCTTTCATGTTTTTCATGTTATACTCCTTATGTCAGCCACACCAAATAATCTGTACTCAGTAACTAGGTCATGGCTATATCACAATTCCTGAATAAACTATTTTTGCTACCCAAAGCTCTAAAGTGTCTTTCTTCACCTAAATTCTTACTCCTCATCTCATATTCAGCTACATTTCCCCCTCTTCCAGGAAGCCTTCCCCCACCTTCCCAGGTAGAGCTGATCCTTCTTTCTTTGGTACCCTCTGTAACCACCACAGCAAGTTCTGGATAACTGCAATCACAGATATCAGCTCTCACTTGGTTACCTATTCCCCATCCACCAAGGGCCCTTAGAAAGCAGAGACTAGACTCTATTCAACCTTGAGTCTTTGGTGCCCCCTCTGTGCCTACTTTGAACTGAGCACAGAGTGGTGCTCTGGCTAGCCAGACCCTGAAACAGAAATCTTGTATACCACAAGTCCACTACTTATACTTCATCTTGGGAAGAAACTTGGTAGGCCAAGAAAAAACATCACTGGGCCATTCTTGATCTCCCTTCATAGACCATTTTACTTGAGGCAATTCCTATAACAGTGATGCAAAAGAGTGACACCAGGCCCCACCTGATAGTGATGATCTGCCCAATGCCCAAGTCTAAGTCATTCAACTGCGCAATAAACACAGCTGCCACTGCTTCATAGAGTGCAGTCCCATCCATGTTGATTGTGGCACCAACGGGCAACACAAATCTAGTGATCCTCTTGTCCACCTGGTTTTTTTCTTCGGCACAGCGGAAGGTGACAGGCAGTGTGGCTGAACTGTGTGATATAGAGAGAAAAGAACTTATGGTCTTAGGATGGTGGTGCTCAATCCCCACCTGAAAAGACACATCTCTTCCACAAAAGTAAAGAAAGGACCCAAAACAGGTTGGTATTGTGGCCAGTCCAGGGATCCGAAGGTGCTGTGTCCACCACTGCCCCCAGTGATTCTAGAACTCCTCCCTGGCTGCAGGCCATGCTGAGGGCAGGAGATATTCAATAGTGTGAAGAAATATGGTGAGGATGGGGCAGAGAATATGGAAGTCAACTCTCAAGTTAAAGGTAGGTACAAAAAACACAGGCTGGAGTCTGCTCCATCAAGTGAGGGTTGAGCTAGTAAAGTGTGGCCTGAGGCTTCTTCTAGAAACCTCTTATAGTTACCTGGAAGAGATCATGAGAGCTGTCAGGAGAGCCTGGGCCATACCCATGGCAAATCGGAAAGGGTTCTTCCGGACGACTATGAAATATATCAGTGGGAGAATTACAATGGAGTGGATGGCAAGCCTGTAAACAAGAGGGAAAAGTTTCAAAGATAATACTCTCTTACTTCACTCTTTTTTTCAAATAGTTTTTAAAAAGTATGACGTTGTTCAGCTTTCCTAAAGACCCAATGAGAAAATGAGAAGTTGCCTAGGAAATATATGTTCCCATGCTGCAGATGAGGATGTAGGGGCCTATTCAGTAAATGAAGCATCTGGTCAAAGTTAATGACAAATTCAGTAGCCGAATATAAATTTCAGAGCTCACAGAACAGAGTTATATCATGCTGAAATGCTCCTGTCTGTGTGATTCCTGGTTTTGAATTATGACTTCTCTAAGACTCAGCTAAATTTCCCCCTCCTTCAGGAAACATCCAGTTACTTTCCCAGGAAAAGCTTACCCTTTCTTACTTGGCACTCTCTTTATCCCCTACTGTGATACCTCATTATAGCCCTTGTCACAGTCTCTACCTTCTCTGTCCCCTGGGCTCTGCAGTTATTTTGCTGGATGGTACTCACTGTGTAAGAGGGCGTTCAGAGTGGCTATAAGGAAAAAGTCCCTCTTCTTCCACAGTTGTACTTTAGGACTGGCCCCCTTTACTAGCCTTACCTTCTCAAATTGTACCTTATTTTACATGGAAATAAATAGCGTACCCAAAATAGGGGGCTTAAGAAATGAGACTCATTTGATGGATGGCATGCATGTGTAAGTGGCAACCTAGGAATTTACAGATCAGTTATACAAGGTTGAAATGATAAGAAATGGGCACTGCAAATACCAATCCTGGAAGTTTGGAGAGAGGGTCTTCTCAATACAGAGCTTATACCTAAGAACTGTGAATTCTTAGCTAGGACTTTTAGTTTTCTGTTAGAAGCCTAGAGAAGGCAAGAGAAAAGAAACCAGCATAACTCCATTAAGAAATGGCTTAGTGTCACAAGCCTCAGTTACATCACTGCCAAGAGTTTGATCCTGGTCCTGCATGTTTCAGCGGTCCCAGAGCAAGGCTGGCCTCTGGTGAGGCCAAGGCCCTGCCTCCCTGACCTCTGTGGCCTGGAGATTTGACGCTGATCCCCACACTATAGGAACCCAGGCTGCTTCTGTGTTAGCTGACAGGGCTGTACTTTTGGCAAACACAGATTATGAACCAAAAGCTGTGCAATGGAAACCCCAAGGCAATTGAGTTCCAAAAGGTGAGCCAATTCCTCAAGTTGGGTGTTTGACCTGTGAGAGTCAAATCAATGTCATTTCCTCATTCCCTTGCTCCATATGTTTTAGCATATATGAAGTATCTTGCTCTTGGATGGGTGTTTGGGGGCACCCTCTGTAATCTACCCCACTGCATTTCTTCTCAAGGAACCATACCAATATCCCCACTCCCTTCCTATTTGTGGCTTCTAAAAAGCCCCACATGATTCCAACTAGCCTGACGATTTCCCCATCACCATCCCCAATACACTGAGGACTCAGGGCAGGGAGTAGCTACCAGCCTCAGTGACAGCATTTGAACCAACCTGTTCTCCTGCTCCTACTTGCTCTGATTTAATTTCATTTAGGCCCTTCTTAATTTCTTTCCACTTCAGGGTATGTGGGGGGCAATTCCTACCTGCTCGGTTAGTTTATGTTCTTGAGAAAGTAATGGGCAGGAGACAGCCAAAAGAGGCTACGAGTGGGTTTCTCTCTTGTTTAAAAAATGATTTAAACACAACCAATAAAGGCAGTGGTAAAGCCTGGTCCAGGCTGTTCTGCCAAAAGCTGGCAATTAGCACAGTGTGATCCACCTACAGTACAGCTGTTAAAGGGCAGCCCTGCTCACTGCTCTCTTATCTCTAAACTATCTTTTCCTGTACTTATGAGAGAAGCCGACCTTAACCAACCAAACCCCAGTCTCTCTGCAGCAATCCTATTGAACCCAGTTGAAGGTTCTGTTTTTTTTTTCTCTTGAATTAGACATACCCACTCAGGACAGTAGCCATGTAAAGACCCAGCTTGCGGAATATTTCCCAGTCTTCAACTTCTATGATCTTCCCAGCAATCAGGAACAAAATACCAAGTGGCATGTAACTAGAAAGTAAGCACAACAAAGACCCAATTCCATCACTAGGGTTTTCTCAGGCTGGGATTATTGGGGAGGAAACAAGCCAGTGCATGCACCCCAGCTTGCAACTGGAAGTACAGAAGACATGGTTGCAGGACAGCAAGTGCTCATCTTCGAGTCCTGGGCAGACTAATGGCTCTAGTTTCCAGTACCTGCAAGCAAGCACCTTGCACTCTACCCACCCAAACTACTGCAAGGGTATTTTGCAAATATGACATAAATATGCAGTGAGATTGGTGCATACCCCATACCATATACACCCCCACATCCTACTGATTGTCACATCTGCTTAGCTCATTTGAGCTCCACTCATCCCTACAAAATAAGGATGCTAAGCTCTTTCTAGCCATGGCATCTCATTTCTCAGGTGCCAGCAATTGAAGCAACGGTAATAACAGTGGAAGTGGTCACCATATGTCTATTTGTGGAGCTCTCATTAGATCTTGTGTTGGGGAAAGTATTTTACATGCATCATCTCACTTAATGTTCTTCCAACCCTGAGGTTAGGTTTTATTACTTTTTTTTTTTAACAGATAATAAAGCTGAGGGTTTTACAGGATTAAGTGGCTTGCCTGTCTGTTATTACTGAACACTTTACATCACTGTCAATGTCCTTTGGGGTTAAATAATGTTGAACCAATTCCATGTGAGATACATGAGGCAGAGATCTCCCAGGAAATGTGGACTTTCTGGCATCTCAGTGACAGGGCGGATACTTAGGTGGTGTCTCTGGGATGCTCAGATGGCAGTTTTCCTTTGAGTGAGCTAGTGGCCCTGCTGTAGCATTTTTGATGTTTTGAACCTCATTTCTGCATGGGGCCTAAGAAGGAAAGCACCCTGAAAGCACCCTCTGTTCTGATCTGCGAGGAGCTCTTCCAGATCATCCCTTTAGGAGCACTTCTCACCTGAGTGTTGGTTGGGTGCAAGATGACCTGCCAGGACTTTGAGGGAAAAGACAGTGGCTGATAGCTAGACATTTATTAATGAACTACCTACTGAGGAGTATATGGAGCTATTTCATACTCCAGTGTCTTGATTTCTAATGTCTCCATCTCCAAGAGGAGACGAGTTGAGGAACATAAGCCTCATCTTTCTAATTTTGAGGATACAGAGTTTTTAGGAGAAGCAAAATGGTCTCAAATAGTGTCTGCTCACCACATAATGATCTGAACAATTTTCATGGTTGCGTCACTCAAGGCGTTGAAGAAATCCACCAGAATCTGTCCCTTTTCTCCCATTTTTCCAATGACAAGTCCGAAGACGAGGCAAAAGATAATCAAGCCTAGAACATTTATGCCATCTGAATACATGCCCACGATTCTGTATTCCTTTGTTTTGTTCTGTGGATCAAAACAAAGAAAATATATTGATACATGATGATAATCACAGTGATCTATTAGAGTCGATAATACTTTAGGAAATATAATAATTATTAAAAACCCTACACAAGTATCAAATCCCCTCCCCCAATGAAATTTAAAGTCCCCCCTTTTATTTTTTTTTTTTTAATATTAAAGCCTGACTATACAGCTTAGTCTTTTATTTATTTATTTTTTTATGTGGTGCTGAGGATAAAACCCAGTGCCTCACACGTGCGGGGTGAGCGCTCTACCACTGAGCTACAGCCCCAGCCCCCCTCCCTTTTCTTAACAAGTCCATATTTTAATATTTTTTCTGAAGATTTATAATTCTATTTTTTTTTAATTTTTGTTATAAATTTTAGAATCAGAGCACTTTTCAGGGTTATTTAAACTACTAGCTACATTTGGAGTTCGTTTTTAAAGAAAGACGGGAATTAATAACACAGGAAGCACAAACTACCATCTGTTTTATCCTGATGATGAAGCACAGGAACATTTTTCACTGTCTCTGTTCTTGTATGACCAACAGGATTTTAGAGATAGATATAAAATTAGCCAGATACCTACTACAATGAGCCATTTCTTCAATTTATCCTGAGTAAAAATACCCTGAGATTCACTGAGAGAAAACATAATCTGACTGGTGCAAACCAGGGTGATAAAGAATTAGGTTAACAAGCCACTGGGGTATCAGTCATTTCTTATTTATGATGAAACAAATATTTATGGAGCAGCTAGAGTGTTCTAACTGCATTGGCTATAGTGCAAGGCTTTAAAATTCAGCTGGAGAGATGAGACCAACTGTGAGAAACATGAGCCAATAGCAAAATGGTGTGTAATTAAAGACACAGCCAAGCTATGAGTTACAAGCATCACACAGAGACTGGGACATGAATGAGGACTTCGAGGTTAGGGAAAGCTAAGTTTGAGGAGTAGGCAGCCAGGAGACAAAGTATGTTCCAGAAAAAATGGTACGCACAGGCAAAAATCATGGCATATGGGCCTTTGTAACTTGCTTGGATAATAATTCTTACATAACTGTTCCTATGGCTGACACCCTAACTTAAACCTCTCTGTTGGATGACCCTAAAAGAACCAGTTCTTCTCCATTGTAATATCCATCACTCTTCGCATGAGGACAGATGCAGTATCTGCCTTTTTACTATTATAATCCCAAGGCCCAGCAGGGCCTGGCATATGGAAGGTGCTCAGAAAAATACTTTGGAAGCACATCAAAAGGCAGGAATAAGGGGTAAGTGAGGAGGCAGATCTGGATATAAGAGAGGGGGCTGTTGGGAAGAAAGCTAGGAAGACTCCAGAGAAGTCAGGTCATGGAGGCCCTCTACCCAAAGCCCAAGAAGCTAAGGCTTTCTGAAGTAGGAAGCAAGGAGCCATCTGTTGTCTACTTAATTTGAATTCTTAAATATATGGAATATTTCTCTTTTCCTTAAATCTTTCCTTTTTATGTGAAGACAGAGGACATTCAGGAGATGTCTATTAGAGGCCTACAAAGGTATCAATTCAGGACCATACATTCCAGTTCTGAAATCCCTAAAGATCTTAAAGTCCATTGATCTAATTGGTAAGTTTATAGAAAACTCTGGGTGACAAAACCTATTCTGAACAGAGATGAGGCTACTGATAATCTGTTTCTCTGACTTTACAGAGTATCCACGTGTTTGTTACAGAAATATTGATGATGTTTGATTCTCTGGAGTGTTGCTGCAATCTCACAGATGTTACTTATCATACAGTGTATATATTGTATAACCCTTCTAAAGTCTTAAAAGATTTGGAATTAGAATCATTTCTGGGTAGAAAGATTTGGACATGGAACTGTGGGTCTGTATCCTGTGTTTATATAGCTTTATAAAACTAAATCAGTCCTCAAGGTACCCAATTGTAAAAGGTGTCAAAAATTCAGTGGCAACAAGCCTCATTCTTTTCCCTATGTATACAGTTGAAACCCTTTGTTCTTACTAGTTTTTATGTAGTATAGTTCCCCCACACACACCAACATACTGAGTTAGCAAATGCTGAATGATTGCTACTAGTCACATCAAACAATCAATAGGTGACATTTTTATGCGGGTTTCTGCTTAAAAACATCTCATTTAATATATACTGCTGATTCATTGACATTGAACTCATGACCAACAGCACTATTACTCCTGCCTGAATGAAGATTCTTTAACACACATATTTTCTCCTTAACACACATCACAGCCTTCTTGTGTTTAGGAACCCTTAAAGAGTACTTTAGTACTTTGTTTCTGTTCACATTAAATAGTAAAATCACCATGAAAAAGCACAAAAATGGAAAAAAATGGCACTAAATGCATCACAAGATGGACATTTGCTTACAGAGTGAGAGCCAAAAGTAGGCAGGTCCAGCCTAGTCCAGCCTCACCTGGGAACATGCACAGTGGGCGACTCAAATTTTGTGCTGCTTTTTGCCAATGACTATGAATGTGCCATGAATATTGATTTGGGGGTCACAAGTAAGTTCGCAAAAAGGAGAATTCACAAATGTGGATTCTGTGAATAACAAAGACTGACTATCTTTCATCTTCTGCTCACTCATGAGTGGCATCTGCCTACTGGGGGAAAAAAGCAGGTGACAGAATGGTACCTCAGAAACTGTGGACATCATGGTGGTGACAGGCTCCTCTGTCATGTTCCTCTGGGGATCACTGGGGGGCTTTACTTCTTCACGCTTGGTTTTGTACTGCATATTGGAGAAAAACAAAGACAAGCAAACAAATAAGATTTTTAGCATCTTTGATGCTACACCATAGGAATAAGTTACTTTTGCCAAACAAGTACCTCCAAAGAGTTCTACCTTCAGTGCTTCTGTTGCTTCTAGTTTTTGATAAAACCACCCATGAGGTTTTATAACTAAAAATGGATTGAGAAATCCAAATCCCTGACTCCCACAACCACCATTCAATAATGTCAGAACGTTCTTTCACTTTCATAATAAGGACAAAATCAATGGAGAAATAATGTGAAAGAAAGGATGTTTTCTCCACAGGCGCTTTCACAGAAAGACCCAATAGGGATTCCTATCACTTTTGCTTTTATTAATTAATTTTTTTAATTGGAAAAAAATACCTCATCACTTTGGTAAAAGTAGTCCCCAGGACTTTAATAAATATCCAGAAAGTTTTAACAAGATAGTTGCATCCAAATCAACAGTCCCTTTAGGGCTATTCAGTGAGTGAGATTTCTGTTTCCTTCAGTTCTGTTTGGATCTGTGGAGCTTTGACACAGAGGTTTAAGAAAGAGCTAGTATATTATTACACCAGGCGCAAATGTCCCTCCTACAGGGCTCTGCCAACACTGAGAACCTTACAAATGACCACTGTGGCTGATCTGCAAAGGCACCCCTGAAATAGAGGTGGTTCTGTGCCCCATGGAGGTTGGCAGGGAGCAATATAATTGCCATTTTTGTTGGTATACACAGAAGTTTCTGTTCATGTAATTTATGTAAATGAATACAGCAGTTTGTGATAGACTCAGCTGTCTTGACAAATGGAAGAAAAAGACTTGTCCATGGAGTGAAGAGATGTCAAACTTTCCTAGAGGGGGGAAAAAAACCCCTATGGCTTTGTTACATTGCTCTCCAGAGTATGGGCAATAGACATATAATGGTTAAAGAAAAGAAATAATCTCAGGAATTCTAGCTATGTCATGTGTGTTAGATACAGATTGCCAACACCAGAGCAGCAAGAAAGAAGAGATAGAAAGCTCTTTTTCTAACCATTGCACTGCATCAACAGACAGTTCACATTTCTTTACAAAAGTAACATGATTCTCCAGAACAGGTACTGAAGGCCACATTTTAAGCCACTCATTGTTTGAAAGATTACTAATTGCTCCATTTGAGCCCTTTTGAGGGAAACTGCATACGGGAAAAGGAAGCAGTGTAAATTATGACATGCATTTGACTGTTGGTTTGAAAGCAAGGATACAAAACAGAAAAGCCACTGAAACTCTTCATTCACAGGTGCACTGCCCACTGCCAGGTTTGATGGGATTACTTCCATTTCTTGGATCATAGAAGGAAAAAAAAATATCTTAACTGGTAATGGAAAGAAGAGAGAAACTCAAGGGTAAAAGTCATTAATATTACCTGCTGAAAACAGGCTTGGACAAGGTTCTCAGGGAACATATTCCTGTTGGAGACATGAAAAGCAGTATTATAGGATGGCAAAAAAGTGTTGTTTTTTTTTATCATACTCAAATACATTGATAAAAAATGAGTGTAAGATAGAATGAGTACTCTGATTTCTCCTCTGGCCTCTCTTTTGAAAAACACTTCCTTGTAATAAGATTTCTTTCTTGTTTGCCGAGCCTTAACTGAGTATAGAATGTTCTCCTAATCAAATGTCACTTAACCAGTTCACTGAGTAACAACAGTTGCGGAGCCCAGTGAAAAGCTGGCAGGTAGATACTTGTAGTTGAGAGACAATTCTTTAATTTTCTGCACATTTCAGTTTTCATACATGAGACAATATTTCTACTAATAATCTGTTCCCAAATTCTTTATGCCAATTGCAAATATTATTGTAATTATTGAATTAAATGTTAAAGCATTGAAATATGGCTGTGAAAAAGACAGTGTGGTTTCTATTAAAAACCAAGCTGAATGCCTGGAATCTCAATAGAGGCCAATGACTAAAATTTTCACTATTAAATTTGATATGAGGAGACAACTTAAATAAAAAGAAAAAGTGGAATGATTTGGCACTTGACTTTCTTTGCAATTTTGAAGGGTTTGGGTTGCTTCACTCTATAGAAACTCAACCTGGAAATTGTAAAAGATGCATTTATAAGGGCACCATATGCAACAGAAATTATGAAAATACAATGAAGTGATACATTGAAACAAAGACTGTGACCCTACATCAAAAAAATTGGTGAATAAATGCTTTTAATTTTTAGGTAGGAAAAAATATGTAATACAGCTCCTATAACTTTTTTTTTTTTGTGTGTGTGTGTGTGTGTGTGTGTGTGAGGGGGTGTTGCTGGGGATTGAACCCATGGCCTTGTGCATGCTAGACAAATACTTTTATCACAGTGTCACACCCAGCTCTCCTAGAACACCTTTTGTGAGTCTCTGATTTAATTGCTACTTTAAATCAACAAACCTATTTCTGGCTCTGTTTTAGATAAGAGGATTTTTCCTGTACAGTTAAAAAAAATGTATTTTTCCAAGTGTGAGGTTTTCTCCCTACAATTAAAAACAATGTGTATCTCCAAGAGTGCTACGGACTGAACATACAACCCAGTCCGACATCTTTATACAATAAAGATACTTTCTGCATCTCTGTCCATCCTAAATCATTACAGAGGACACTGTTGCTTCTAATCCTCTTGGAACCATGACCAGCAAGCAGTAATTACTTGCCATGTAATTTGTGGGGTCCAAGGTAAAATGAAGATGCATAATAATTTTAAAAATTACTAAAAATGTCAAGATAGAAGAGCATTAAAGCATGCACATGGCCTTGGCCTCCTGTAACTACACAGCTGGCACAAACAGGAAGCTAAGACTCTCACCTGATCAGGTCTAACATGGCATCTACTGTGCTGACTTCCGGGGTGCTCCCCATCCTGTCGATTTCAGACACCTTCTGGGTGACACCAGGCTTGATGCTCACCACCAGCACAATACCTATGATCAAGGACAGTATCCACAGTGCATTAAGAAACTTCCGGGCCATGTGTGGTGGCATACGCCTGTAATTCCTGTAACTTGAGAAGCAGAGGCAGGAGGATCACAAGTTCAAAGCCTGCCTCAGGAACTTAACAAGCCCCAAAGCAACTTAAGTCAGACCCTGTGTCAAAATAAAAAATAAAAAGGGCTGGGGATGTAGCTCAGTGGTTAAGTGCCCCTGGGTTTAATCCCTGGTACCAAAAATGTGAAAATAAAAAATAAAGAACCTTCCAGAACATTTGGCATCCTGGTGCATTCTTCTAACACTGTAATGAGGAGACCTGAAATTAACCAAATGCTGAGACATTCGTGGCTTCCTTAATTACTTCCCCATTGAAATTCATAAGCAGAAGGAATTCTGCGCCCCCCCCCCCACCTTTAAGCATCTAAGAATTGCTTCTGGAAATACCTATTGATGAGAATTCTTTTCTTTTCTTCAATTCATGAGATCAACCTAGGCAGGTGTGCGGGTGAAGGTACTTCATTTCCTGGCCCAGGGAACCTGTTGATATCTTTTGTAATTTAGCCCACAGACGCTGGTCATTCTGCAGGTCATACAGAACAAGCTTTGTCTTGTCTACCTTCTTTACCAAAGGCCTTGGAAGAGCTAGAATGCTGTATTGTGGGTGAGTGTCATTCAGGGGTGGAATGGAGAATAGATAGACAGGAACTGCAGGGAGGGAAGGTGCTTCATGCTGTAAGGAAGACCTGTCTGCATGCTAGGTCATCTAAAAGCACCATTGTGATCTCTGGAAATAATGGGTTTCTCTCTCAAAGTGTCTAGCAGAAATGGGAGGTTGTAGAAGAGACCAAGGCATTGAGGGATGTTTGACTAAAAGACAGAGAGGAAGAAAAGATATTTCCATGCCTTTCTTGCTCCTTTCCCAAGAGGAGGAAGTACTAAGGGGACTTTGGAGTGTAGAATGGGTCAGTTTTGCTTGTAGGACCAGTCGCTGGGCAGTAAGAGGGCTGTGGATCTTTTCTTTATGGCCCACTTTCCCCTGTCAGGGCTGCAGAAGGGATACCCAGTTAATTATAAGGCAATATCTTGCTTTTTCTCTGCTATTTTTTCTTTGTGCTGGATCCCCTTAAAGAGATACAACTTTGGTTTAGGGCTGGGCTCAGGCCCTCCTAAGCCCCTCAGCCTAATACCACTAAAACTTCACCATATCCCACCTCTTACCCATTCACTGAATCAGGGCTGCAAGGATCAGGCTGGCTGCAACATCTGAGAACATTTCCTTCCTTTCTTCCCCCTCTGGGCACCCTTCTTAAAATGTCATGCTAGGTCACAAAAGATCTTGAAGCTATAAGAATAGCTCTTCCTTTATTAAAACTTTCTCTTTCTCCCTTGTACAAGTGGGATTTATACTTAGCAATACTGTTAGCTGTTAGAATTTGGTAAAATGTGAAATGCACTGAAATCCTACCTTTCTGGAAATATGTATCATTATACTCAGTACCACTATTATAGATTAATTATCCAGTTTAAGATTACATAAGCTCTTGGCTTCACTTTCTTCAACCAATGACTCTGATAAGGTATGGAACTGTCATCCACTTCCTTTTTCTTAGTAGAGACTCTAATAAGCAGTACCATGTCTAAAATTATGTCAGCATTGCATTGCCTTCACATAACAGGTGCAATGTAGACTTCAAAGCAAAAAGTTCCAGGGTAGTTTGACATATTACTTTCTGATTTAAAATAATCTTCATTTTTAACACTCCAACTACTTTTTGGATGAAAAGTCACAATTGTATAGGGGAATAAGGATTCAGAAATAAACATTACCTAGAATTACAGCAATGATGGTGGTACAGAAATAATATACTACAGCACGCAGTCCAATTTTTCCAGATACACTGGAGTCCAGTGCAGCAACACCTGGAAGGAGAGGAGAGAAAGGTCAAATTCACTCATTTTTGAAAGACAGAATTCCAGCTGGGTCTATAATCCCAGCAACTCCGGAGGCTGAGACAGAAGGATCATGAGTTCAAAGACAGCCTCAGCAAAAGGTGAGGCACTAAACAACTCAGTGAGACCCTGTCTCTAAATAAATTACAAAATAGGGCTGGCCATGTGGCTCAGTGGTTGAGTGCCCCTGAGTTCAATCCCCAGTAACATCCCCCACGCCCCCAAAAAGACAGAATTCCAGGATTGGTGATTCAATTCTTAGGGTGTGAAATGAGGAGCTGAGAGGCCCATCTCACACAGTCAGTTTGGATAAGACACAATGGGCAAAAGAAGCACTTAAAAATTCCCAAGCTAAAAATTAAGAAATAGAGACCCTGGGCAGGCTAACAGCTTTGGTCTCTGTTGTTCTTAAGGGCAGTTATGAAGCAATTACAAGGAGTATCTCTTCTGCAAGTGCTCTAAGAACCTTACCAGGATTTGCATATTATGTCACTCAATATCCTTTATGATAAACTGATAAAACTTTCCTGGAATTCCATACTAAGGTAACAATTTATCTTGAAGAACTGAGACAGTACTCTTTTTCGCTTAATAAGAATCATGGGTGTCATGATTATTTTCCCGTCTGTCTTTTCTGTCAGGAAGCTCAGTCAAATGAAAAAGTAACATTTATGTGTGATTATAAAAGGAATGCATATTCATTACAATTAACTAGAACAAAAATAAAGATGAAATTAAAAGACTTTATCTAACCCAACCACAGTTAATAAGCCAGTGAATTTTTCTCCAATATTTTTTTCCTTGATGTTTTTAACCCACTGTCTTCTTAATTTTGTATTATAAGCATTCTCTCTCATTGTTACAAACTTACCCTACTGATAATCTTAATGGCTACATAATCTCCCTGGATCCTAATGTACTAAATCATCATTCACTTATTGCTAGATCTTTAGACCGTCTCAGAACCTGATTCAATAATAATTCTTGGTAATTTCATTATCCATCCTTTTCCTAACATATTTCCTTCCTCTTTTCATGATTTTCAAATTGCTGCTAGTTGAGCAACTTTATGAGATGCCTTAAAATTTCTGTTTGAAAAAGCACAGGTTCTGTTTCCAAAGGCACAGGTGATTTAAGAGACTTATGGCCACATCATTGGATCCAGTTTCAAATAGTCTTGGGATACCAAGAGGAGTGTTGCCTAAATTTAAGGGGGGTTTCTGGAATGCCAAGGACAGCTATATTAGAGGTGGAAGGTATATATCTCTGCTTGCTAGAAACCTTTGCCCTCCATCAAAAATGCTTATATCATTGGAGTTGTGGCTCAGTAGTACAGCACTTGCCTAGCATCTGTGAGGCACTGGGTTCAATCCTCAGCACCACATAAAAATAAATAAATAAAAATGCTTGTATAAATGAGGTCAAACGATGCTCTCTAAATGGACTTCTATGAGGGGGATAGGAAAAATTGAGAAACAACCAAAGCAAGCTGTCATTTAAGATTTCAGACTTTAACCTACATAAGTTCTAAAATGAAGATCACGTTTTTGAGTCAAATTATCATCATAGAAAATTATTTTGCATTTTCAATACTTATGAGTTTTCCTATAACTGTTTGCAAAGCCCTAAGTACAGGGTAACAGGAAAAAAGAAGAGGTTGTCACAAGGCAATCCCCAGGGAAAGGTAGTAAACCTTATGGCTAACAGGATGTTCAGGCAGCTTTTATGGTTTCCCCTCCCACTATAAAAGGCTTACCCTTTCTTTTAAGTGACTGGGGGATTATGCTCCTCACATGTAATGGTACATATGTGACAGGAGAAATCTGCAAGGACAGTATCACCGTTATGATGACAGATCTAAGTCATTTCTCCCTTTACACACCCTATTCCTTGGGTTTGATTACTCTTCTGGAAGTTAATATTTTGAGAGAGGGAGCCCTGGCCTCTTTAGCAGTTACCCAGGAAGTTGTTAAAGGGCCAGTCAGCAACCTCCAGGACAAGGTTGTGCAATCACAAATGACAGGCATGTTACAAGAGTCACATCCTAGAATATCCTTGATGACAGAGTCTATTCTCCTTGATTGGGAAAAATGGAATTTGGTGTGCTGAGGGGAACTTCTTTCCTGACAGTAAGGCATTGAAAAATAACACTTATGCAAAGAACAACAATAATAAGCTGAAGGCCACAATTCACAAAAGAACCAACAATCTCATTTTTAATTTAGATCTCTCTAATAAAAAGCAAACAATAATGTAAATATGTTTGTTATTTTATGATTTTTTAATACTGTATGATTATAAAATGTGCCTATTTCATTTTAGAGCTCAGTCTATTATTTTGACAATTATAATTATTTACAAAAATAAGGGTAGGTTAAAAAGAAACAAGAAACTCACCACTTTAACACAATCCTATGTAAACTACAGAAGCACCTGTAATCCCGACTTCATGTAGGATGTATTTTCAGATATACTGTCCTTCTTTGGTAGATGTCCAATTTAAGCATGTTCCAGCCCCTAAAGGGCCGATAAGTGACAGATTCACAGGGTAGTTATGGAACGGTTCCCTGGTATGTATTTGGTACCCTCTCAGGACTTTCTTCCAGCAGTGAAACAAATTAAATCTATGTGGGTAATTGTTTCCAGCATATGTTAATATGTCTTAATTTGTCTTAATGATTTGGCCATGGGCTGGTGCTTCCGATTGTACATCAGGACTCAGCTGGCAATAAAAGCCTTCAGAATAATGAGCTTATTGGTGGAAATATCTAGGCAAATACCTCCTGGAGCAGTCAATCAGCTCCTCTCAGCAGGAGCACGGCAACTATCTTGTAGTCACTGTTAGTAAGGGCTTGACTTCCCATTCCTCTCATCTATCCCATGCCTCCAGTATTCCTGGATATAGCAGAAAATTCTGTACTTTTCTACATTCTTACAGTTACACTTTTACTTCTCCAGTCATCAGTGTTGGTTGTGGGGCAGAGCAGCACCCCAAATCCAGACTCTTGGATGATTTATAATGCATCCTTGGGAATATGGTGGCTAGCACTGTAGAGGGAAGGGACATATACAAGGAAAACAGTCTAGCCTTTGAAACCCTATATAATAGAACATTACAGAACTTAATAACTATGAATGTCTGTCTGCATGGTCTGAACACCCCACCTGCCAACAATGATGGTGATGATGATGATGATGATAATTATAACAAAAAATGATAATAATGATGACAGAAGCCACTAGACTGACTGCATATTACTAAGTCAACTCCTTTAATTCACATTGTAATCCTCAGAGACAGGCATTATTATTATCCTCTTTACAGAGGAGAAAGTTGTGGCTGAGAAAGGCTAAGTAATCACCATGAATATAAAGCTGAGGAGGTCAGTGGTGAAGCTGGGATCCCAGTCCTGGTTTGACCCCGAAGACCATATTCTTAACCACTATGCCACTGTGGTTTCATTCATGTGCTGCAAAATTCTAGACTGGTGCTATCCAGTGTTACTTCCTGGGATGTGGAGATGCTCTGTATTTGTGCCATCCATTGAAGTACCCACATACTACATAAGGCTAGTGAGCAATTGAAAAGTGGCTACTGTGCCTGAGGAATTGTATTTCAATTTTAATTTAAATTAATTTCAACTTAAATAGCCACATACAACTAATAGTTATCACATTAGACAGCTCAATCTTTAGACCTTACTGGAGTGTTCAGCATTTAGTGGGTGCTCAACAATACTGAATGAACAGCTCAAGTTTAACTCCATTATGAAAACTGGTGAAGCCTCCTGACCTTGCCAACATAGGGGCAGGGAGAGGAAGAGATAAGGCACAATCTCTGGGCACATGGTGCCATATTGCTCCAAAGCCTGATGCTTATTCTTCTCTGGGTCTCCAGAACATTCAATAAAGTACTTTATGAATGTTTTCATGTCAAACTTTCCACATGATGGGGAGAGCTACACTTTTTATAGGTCATCTTCCTTTTATCAACTGAGTCCATTCTAAAAGTCTATTTGTGTGTCAGAAAAGTAGAACTCAGCAGGTAGCCTCCTTAGAATCACTTGTACATAGTGGTTAGGTTGGGTTCTCAGGGTAGCCAAGAAAAACACTTGCCAAAAGCTTCTAGGTGAAAACATGTTTAACATCTTTGTGTCTCTCAACTTGGTTTTCTTTATTATGGTTCATCTCCCTCCCACAAAGTCTTTTAGACATTTTCCCCTTAATAACCACCTTCATGAAATTTTAGTACCACAAATTATGTGTTTATGTACTAAATGACTACATTTGCTTTTTACATAGAATAAAATCCCTCCCCTCCCCTGCCGCTGCTGCTCACCTCAAATCAGCTTTTGCTGCCTTTAGGGTGATATTGCCACACTGGGAACTAGTGGTCAAGCTTAGTGAATATTTGCCATGCACATAATACAGGGATCAGACTCTGAAGGTGGTGCCTCTCCATCCCTTAGCAGAGATAGGTAGGACAGCATGTCCACATGGCTGAAACGTGGCCCTGCCTTATGCTTGGTTTTACTCTCAACATCCACCTGGGTTTCCTGCTCTCAGGCCTGGTGCCTGGAGAAATCTAGGGGACCTCCTCGATTTATAGTTCCAGAAACTCCTTCCTCCTGGGAGCTAATGGCTGTTCCACCAGAACTGACAAATGATAGTAGACTGTGTGTTCATCCATCACAAAGCAGGAGCAAGAGGATCTGCACAGACATTAACACAAGTGTTGAAAAGCATTTACAGTAATGATCCTGTTGACTGCAATAATAAAAAATAAGGCTAGAGTTTTATATGTCTTTTTTGTATCATTTTTCTGGTAAATTGTTTTTATTATAGTTTATAAAGGCTGCTGATCTGTGACAGATTAGAAATTTTAAAAACGGGATTTTCTCATCTAGTTTAAGAACCAGATATATTGTGAAGCCCTGGTGTACAGAATAGGTACTGTGGACTTTCTGAGG